ATAATGAGAGGGCATAATGGATTGTCATCTCATTATACCCTCAAACGGCCGGTCAAATTGATTGACGGAGTTATATTATGTAATAAAAAGGATGCAACTTGATTCGTATGAAGCACTTTAATGTTGGACAAACAATAATCATGACAATTGTATATTGTTAATGCATTCCTTGGAACGATGAAAAATAAAATGTTGTATGCACCTCAGGCATTACTCAATATTTAACCCTCGGGCGACTTACAATCCCTCGGGCCGGAGGCCCTCGGGCTCTGTCGCCCTTGCCATAAATATCGCCTTAATGCCCTTGATGCATAAATAACTATTAGTTACAAAGTATTTGAATACTAAAAAGTATTTACAAAAATTTAACTCGAACGTACTATAGTATTTTTACACGGTCTGGAAAATTCGTACATTCGTTGATAAGGTGTTTGTTATTGTCAAGTTTAGCTGAATCAATTTCAAAATGTTCAAGAATTTTTAATTTATTGATATTGTCAGATTGGTGTAGCATTTTGGTGTTTTCGAGTGTGATAATATGGTTTGTTTCCAGAGAGCGGGTGCCTATTGCAGGTTTGGGTCTATTGTTTTTGTGTTCTTTGAATCTTGTTCTGATATTGCGAGAAGTGAGTCCAATGTAGGATATATTGCAATCATTGCAGTGGATTTCATAATTATTTATTGTACTCACCCGTTTTCTTACAATATATACTGTAACTTTTTTCAGCACGGCCTGATGATGGGCAATATCATGCCCGAAATCGATCGCCAATAAAGAATAAAAAATAAGATTTGCCTGTTTTTTCCTTATACTTACCTAGAAATTACTTCACCGACAAAAAAATGGAAAACTTCATAAAAAAATATATAGATCTTGTATTATCATAGATCACCCATAACTTTTCGTGTTCTTCGGTCAGTAATGTAAATTCTTTTCGTAGTTCATTATATTTGGCTTTAATTTCGATTTCTACCGTATGAATTTTATCTTGGACACTCTGTATCTTATCTTGAATCATACCTCTGATCTGGATCTATTTTAGCTTCCATGCCTTGTTGACCTGTTTCTATTTTATTTTAGACTCCATTCATTGTTGACCAGATTTGACCCTTGCTTTCATTTCAGCTTGACCGGCTTTCATTTCTTGCATTAATTGCCTCAGTTGTTCCATTTTTCTGGTCACTACATGCATAAACGTTCACTAATTGTTCACTCAAAAATAACACTTGACACTTGACACCAGTGCAACGTAAGTCGTATTGCGGTTAGATAGCGCGGATCTATTTGTTGAAGAACAACATTTTCGTATTTTCCTTGCAATTCACAGACAGTATAAACAAGTAACTGAGCCAAGTGCTCTTCTAAACAATACTTTCACTACTTTCATTGCATTTAACTCATCTTTTCTATATTGAGAAACACTCCAGTAATCATTTTTTTGCTGGTTGCAACAATTTAAAACCTTTTCTTACACACACCCCTTAAGACGCTTACTTAAACCATTTGCACGAATTAAGTGTAAAATCAAATTACAGATCCTTCAAGGTTTTGAACTGTAAATATTGATTATTAAAAACAACCGATTGAACCATCGAATTGAAACCGTTTTTTTATTCAGTTTTTTGCATTTCTTGGACAATTCTTCCATAGTAATGCTCATTTTTGTTTACACCATCTGAAAGTAGATATTTCAACAATACAAATATTTTTGAAAAAAGTGTTTATTAACATTCTTGGTTGAAGATGATGTACCTTTTTACGTTGAACATCAAAATAAAATGTTCACAAAAATAAATTTTGGTTCAATGCTTGTTAAAAGGTAAGCTTCCGATAAACTTTGTGGATGGAAAAAACCGAAAATATCCCTTTATTCGAAAGGAGGTTACGTGAAAAGTTAATAAATTAATAAATGTAATCTTTTTCCAGGTTTTTTTGCCTCTAAAATAATTAGCGGAATATTCGAATATAATCTGACACCACACACGTTACCACACGGTATACGAATGAAAAATGAGAGTAACAAATGAATGTTTTAGTTTCTTACCTATATTTAATAAATTGAGCGTAAAGTGTACCAAATCTTGCTTTTCAATAAATATCGATAAAGTGACCGTAATAAACATGACGTAGGTAAAAAAAGTAGAACTGTACTTTGATAAGTAGTGCCAAAATATTGATATCTTCCTGGAGTTTGATTCCACGGGATACATTCCAAGCAACTTTAAATAGATAACGATCACAGACAAAAATACCTGCACCATGATATCGGCTACAAAACCTACACAGAAATGCCAAATTGGTTTTACAAACGACCAATTTATGTAATTGTATTTCTTAAATTTTGATGTGCGGATTTCTAACGAACAAAGCAGGTGCCTTGAATTATTTTTAAAAATTTAAATAGAAATTACACATTACTGGTGCGCGGGTACGTAATGATTACAGCTCTGATCAATTTGATTTAAGAAAGGGTACTAATTCTACCGTTTAAACAGATGGCAATTTGAATCGCAATTAAACAATTACGCCACTAATAATTCCTCTGCTTCTGGTGGAACTTATTATTTCGGAATAAACGAAGCTTAGGTAGTAGAAAAATGAAGTCACCGATTCAATTTCGACACTATAATTTTCTTACATAGATTAATATGTATTCTTGAATTAGCAATATTCTTATAGAATTTTCGATAGCTTCAGTATACCCCTCTAATATCCTGTACATTTCTAATATTTGTTTTTTTAGACTTATATAAGAGTAGGATTGTTGGTTAAGGTGGGGAGGTTCCTAACCTTTCTTGGGAAAAGATAAGTAAAATTGTGTTGAATCAGCGTTTTCTGTAGGCAGCCCTAGAGTTGGCGAACCAATGAAAATTAAGAGTTATAATCGTTTCGTAATTCATACTCTAATATCCGGTGTCACGTGAAATTTCGATAAAGAAAACTGTTAGCAAAGTTTGATAATATTTACGTTCATTTTTGTACCGCTAAAGTTAAAATTAATCAATGTGAAAATTTTAGTGAAGGTATTTCCTAACCATTCAACCAAATTTCAAGAACAACCCCTTAAAATCGAGCTTACATCAATGCTCGTTTCTTTTGCCAACTCAAATTTGTGCTGGCCAGGAGAATTAACAACTGAAACCTGCAGTTCAACATCAATCATCAACGACGTCCATTTCCAAGAGCTGTTGTTGCAGATAATTTCATATATCCGGTTTAAGAATGCATCCAAGAAGTGACCTGTTAACTACCCCAGAGTTTTGAGTCAACCGGTTAGCTGTAAGAACTCCAGGTTTCCACATCAAGAAAAAATCACCCAGGAAAGGTTCGATATAGAATTGTTGTATGATTTTTGAAATTTTAATCGACTGCTTTACGATCCGTGAGAAAAAGAAATTTTTGACCTATTACTATTACCATATTAAAGTTAAACTGTAAATGAGAGTTGTTGAAAATTATGTAAAATTATTGTTTTGTTTATTCGTATTCTTATCCAAAGAAAGCCATGATTTTGTAACCAGTCTTTTCAGATCAGGATCAAAATCCAATTCGATTTAAATTTCATTATAAGGGAACCAAATTCAGAGGTCATTTATACGTTAATTCGTCACCGTAAAACGAATTTAGGTTGCATTTAAAATGTAAATTATTGACGTTTCAATTTGAAATTATTAATCGATTTAGTATGCGTAAGTATTCTCAACGTAGAATTTAACTATTCAAATCTTTGCCAGATAGAACTTTAGTATTTAGATCATTCCTGTCTGTATGTATGTCGGCAATTTTCCAAGATATCTGATCGGACGGATTTTGTTCACATTTTCGATGCGTATATATATGGCATACGGAAACAAAAAATAACAAACAGGCTGGATGTAAAAAAATCAAACTTTTTCCGAACAGCTACATAAGATTTATATTAAAGTATTTTAAAGACTTTATTTTTCTCTGTACAACTACAAAAATTGTGCCAGGTTTTATTACAAAAAAAATGAGAAAGAATGTCAAAGTTAAAAAACTAAAAAAAATTTTTTCAACGCAATATTTTTATTAAATTATTCGCAAGACTTTCTTTTTCGGTGTACAACAAAATTATGTTACGTTTTATTATAAAAGGGCGGAGAAAAATGTCAAAGTTAAAAAACCATTTGGCAGCTTAGTGCGCGGTTAATATTTAGGATGAGTGATTGCAAGGGAAGTTCGGTCGTTGCATTCTTTTTTGGTTTAATGTTTAATGCAACTAACTTAAGATGAAATATCAATACCTATGTTAAAATATCAGATCAAGATGTATATATACTGCAGTTTTTATTATGGTTAATTAATATCACAAAGTTAAACACTAAAATCTGTGTTAATATAATACTGTTAAAAAAAGGAGAACCTGACCCATCTCATCTGTAAACAGATCGCCGACAAAAAAGTGGGTCATTGACAACTTAATGAGGGTGTCGGTGCCCTCTCTACCTACATTCTTATTCTAATGTGCCGATTGAAGAAGGAGCTTTGTGTTTACTGACTTTAGACAATAAATGAATTATGTATTAGTAATAAGTATTAGCAATAAACACAAAAAAAGCGTGCGAAGACATTAAACGGTGAATACTGCTTTTTGGTTTGAGCTAGGAAGCTATTCTGTCAAAAATTTGGTACATTTTGTATGATACAGTTTTCTGGTTACTATTACAATTACACTTTAAGTAAAAAAGCTAGGTAATTTGTCAATCCAATTATTGCAGCAGGGCTTCCGCTTCCGCGGCAAAATTTAGATGATGTTCTATTTTTTAATATAAATATTTTGGGCATTTTTGAGTTATTATTTTATGACACAAACAGGAAATTTGTAGGTACTTCCTATTACTCATATTTAGCCAGTTAGCATCGGTTAGTTGTACGATATATATCATCAAACTTGCGTATCCCAATGATTAATCGCATGCAAAAAAAGCAATAAAAATGCAACACTCAAAATGACTATATTAAAACACGAAATAGCTTGGTACCCATATTTAATAATCATAATTTATCCCAAAAGGCCACCTAGGAGTCCTCCAAGTAATGACTCCAAAATTTGAGCCAGAGTACAAACGAGACCTCCAGTTGTAATAAACAGTCCATTTATGACGTCTGCCAAGCCACTACAGGTAGTGGGCATAAGCCCCAGTAAGCGTAATAGTTCATTTATAATATACCTCGCGAAACATATTTTTTCAGATTGGCTAGCTGTGTTGAGTTGCAAGGCATTAATTTTTTGTTTGATTCGTTGTACAATACAGTACGCTGCAGACATTACTTTAGTAGAGCATGTGGAATCTGAAAGAAAAGATGAGTAAAGTAAATAGATTAATGAAATCGTCATCTTACTGTTCGTTTGTTGCAATTCTGACGGTATAATACAAAGTGCTGCAAAAGTTAGTGATAAAGCAAGAACTCTGGTGTTCATGGTGGCACTAATTAAAAAAATTGTGTTCGGTAGTTAGCTTTTATACATGCGAGGTAGATGCACATTATCCATATCAAGAATTAAACACTGAGTTGCAAATATTTGTTAAAACGTCTGGATTGATATGGTCGTTGAACTCAAAATGTTCCGCAAAGAAACATTCACTGAATGACATACTTGATTATTTTTACTCAAAAGTTTTTATTAATTTTTTAATTTTGAAACTTGAAGGCGCGATTTCTTGGTAACTGGTAAAACGGTGGTGTAAATAATGAAAATGCCTTCCAAATTATGGGTCATTTGACCCCTAGTCCCATGCACGCATTTGTGAGGGTTGCAATCCCTAAAACAGAGTTAAAGTTGCAAGAATTATATTTGCATAAAAATTGGCCCCCCTTGATAATATAAGTGTTTAGCTGTTTGCCAAATCATTTATTTTGCCGCGTCTTCTGGAGATACTAATTTTCGGGGGACACCTTGTAGATTATAAAAACGGGCAACACATTTTGTAATCAATTTCTCAACGTGTGTTGGTTTAACTAGAAACATATGTCTACGCGGTAGTTGTTTTCAAGATTGATAAGCCTTAACTTTTAAAACATTTGTTTTTCATCGTGTTTAGTATGTAATTAATGAAATACATTTCCTAGGTGAATGGAACTTACCCTACTAATAAATCTCCAACGCTTTTTTTTGTACAGTTTTTTTCAATATTTGTTCTTAGGGGTATAACTGATAGAAAATGTTAATTTCAATTTCGAAAGTGCCTTTAACTACAATAAGCAATCTGAAAGTTCGGGTATTTAGAACAACATGTTTTTGCTAAGAAGGCAGATAAGCATTTCCAATTTAACACAGGAAAAAGTTTCTACTTTAATTCAGTAAAATACATTTTCCTTAAAAGGTGTTCTTTACAAAGATTGAAACCTGACGGTGCGGCGGTAATTAGACTGTCAAATTATTAGGCCAAAGCGGTTTGGTGCAATAGTTTTGTCTGTAAGTCCTCTACCTTCTCGAGAACGACGAAGGTAAAGTTGTATAGTAGAAGGAGTGAGGGTGATGTATGGTACTTTGTTAATAGTGTAAGGGTGTTTCTCTGTATTTGTTCTAAATCTGTATTATACGGTAGTATGAGGGCATTGTGTTGTGGTTTACTTTTTTTCAATAGAAGGTACGAGTGAGTTATTCTAGGGGGTCCAATGGCAATTCGCAACCATTTTACTTGTTTGTTCCGACTATATATTGATTTAATTTAGGAAGCGATGTCACGTCTAAGATTACCTTTCCCAATTGTGACTCAGTACTTTCCTACTCCTGTTGTCAGTTGCCATTGTATTTCCTTATATCTTGAAGTTGATATTTCTTATTCCGATTTCATTTTGGGTCTATTAAGGATGCCATTTCAGAGTTTTTGCAGACTTTAATTTTTTGGGGTTATTTAGCGCATGGTAATAGAAAAGTCAGCAGTAGTTGGTATAGAAAACGGTTCCTTTCATTGAGACTTTTAATTAGAATACCATGAAAGATAAAATCAAGGAATATGCTACCTACTGCAAAATTCCAGGACTGTATGACCATTCCCCTAGAAGTACTTCAAGTGGATCCGGACGGACAAAACGAAAACAATAACACATTTTTCGTTTTCTTAAAAAATGTGCTAAAAAGGGCGGACAGATGGTAGAGGTTTTCATGGATTTAAAGGCAGTGTTTGAAATAGTGTAAAGGGAAAAAATATGGAAAATGATGGAAGAAAATAGACAAAAAGTTTAAGGACAGAATCAAGGAATTATATGAAGAGACGCTAATGAGAGTAAGGATAGGAAGGAAAAAGTCTAAAGTGTTCTGCGCATATAAAAGAGTGAGAAAGAGATGTCCACGTACACCAACCGTAATTTCTACAAAAGAGATACGAAAAAAGTTTTAAAGTTAAAGTGGAGGGATCGTAATAGGAAGAAGACATAATTATGGTCCCTGGCATACGCGGACGACACAGTGATAATGGCAACAGAGGTAGAACAGATGAAGGAAATGATGGGAAGAATATAAAAGTATTGGGAAAGAAAGGGAATGGAGTTAAATGTCGGAAAATCGAAGATGGAGAGATTTGGAAAAGAGGGGGGGGGGGGGGGAGAGAAAACGGAGAATGGAAATGGAGGGAGAAAAAAGTAGAGGAAGTAAGAGAAGAATATACTTAGGGTAGGTACCAAATGCAACGAAATAATGGGGAAATGCTAAAATTGCGGGAAGTTCGTCCTGGAAATTTAACAATGCAATTAGTTGAATAAAAAAATTGAACTTTAATCAGCGGAAAAATTACATAAAACATAAATTATGTTATTATTTTACAACTCAACTGCAGTAGAGTCAGGCAATCGGTTACTGGCGAATAATCTAAAACAGAATTCTTCCTTATTTAATTTCTCGGCTTCTGGTCATCATAAAAAACTGGGACCACTTTAAAAATCAAGTTAATTAAGCGCGCTTCATTTGAGTATAGGTTTCCTGCAACACATCTGAGTAGCTACCGGTATTTCTGCTCACGCAAATGGCCGCACTGAAATTTCTAAATTCGATAGCCGAGTAATGCCTATTGTTATAGGGAATTTCGGGTCAATCGCAAAAGGTTTGCGATAATGAAATAAACTGCACGACCTTGCAGTTTTAATGCTCGTTATCGCTTAACATTGGGAAACTAAAATCGGTTATCAATGAACGAAGAGAAATGAAATCTTACAATGTTAATTTTCTCTCGCCTTCCAAAGGACGAGGCTTTTAGAGGCTGCGAGTTATTAAAATATTTCTTATCAGCGGCTAAAACGGCTCTACAATTTAAAACATTACTTTTACCTTCTATTTTTCACTGCTAGAAATAGGTCCCAAACTGCAATCACTCGTAAGGAAGAGCCTATTTGAGTTCGTCGAAGTACCGGCTGTTGATTAAGCTTCCATTAATATAATTCTGATATAATTCCTGTGCGAAAACGAGTGCTTCGTTGCAAAATAAGGGAACTAAGATAAAAGGAGGTAGTGGAAATGGAACAGGCGTGGGAGAAAGGAGTTTCAAAAATGAGTTTAGAGCAAGAAAAAACATTGTTGATGCAATCGCGAGAGGGGTGCTTATGTACGGAACGGAGATATGGGAGTTGAAGGAATGGGGTGAACAAAGAGATTACCAATGACTATGGGTCTAAACGGAAAGGCACCAAGTTACGTATTAGAGGAGGAAACAAAAATGGAGATTAAAACACACATACATTTTAGTTTTATGTATTTGATTCGTTGTAAAAATTTGCCAAACGGTATTATTAACAAATATTGATTGATTGTAATAGGGGATGAAATTATGGTCCTGTATCTACTATGATTCACTGTCCCAAAGGTAGTCGATGGAATAAAGAAAAAGGGAGAAGCGCCGCCGATAAAGTTCAAGGTTTGTCAGTCGAGACAAAAGGTGATTGCTACGGCCTTTTGGGATTGTGAGGGCATTCTTTTATTGACTTAAAGAACGCAACGCAACAGCCTAACTGCATAAATTAATACGGAGTCTATCCAAAAACAACTTTGACCTAATCAGGAACATTCAAAATACCAAAAATGGTAGTTCTTCAAACAGATTCAAATAAAAATCATACCATGTAGATTGATGTAAACTGTAGAGGGAGAAATAAGTAATTGGAAGCTTGAGTTTACCTCACTATCGTTTTAAAAATGGTGAGATTTTGGTTAGTAATGCTTCTTAAACCTTGTTTTCAACTACAGTTTGTCAGTGGCCAAATCTATAGCTACTATATATATACCACAGCTCACGCGTCCGCCATTTTGGAGCCTACTGCTTGCAAAACGTTGCATGTTCTGGGTGCAGTATCTTATCATTTAAAGAAAAACCATGGATTACTTTAACGTTTATTAATGCATTTTTACACATTAACTAATTTTTCTGTGCACAGATTTAGACTGTCAGTGGGCTCCAAAATGGTTGACGAGTCTGCTACCTTAATCAAGTACTGTAGTCAAATCGCATACGTCATCAAGCATCCATGGCAACGTCCCACATTGATCAAACAATTGTTATTTACATACTGTATAGGTACGAAACGCGCACTAAAGATATACCTCAATGGGTAAGAAAAAGAAGAAATCTAAAAATGCAAAAAATGGGGACAAAGGTAAAGCCAAGAAAGCTCGCAAAGGAGGTGGCGGTGGTGGAGGTGGAAGATCGAAAAGTGCGAGGTATACCGTTGACATTTTTAACGAAGCTGCAATGGAGAACGCCTACGCGACGTGCCACAATGTACAGGATTTATTAAAATTTCGTGGCTTTCCTTGGCCCGATGCGCAAAAAAAGAAGAAGAAGGGGAAAAAGTAATCTTAAGTTAGTGGAAATGCAATGGGTTTGTAAAATCGTAACAATGCTACAGAAAATAAAGTAGATAATTACCTTTTGCGTTATCATTGACACTATTGGAGTAAGTATATACCTACCTATGTAACCGTAGTATACATCCAAGTAAGTATTATTAAAGGAATGATATCAAAAAAATAATAAATGATAAGAATAATATATGTACCTAACGCTATTTTTAAGCAAAACGAGTGCACTACACATTACTATAATTCAAACATCGTATAAATATGTTTTCTTTATTTAAGAAATTTTACTAAAAGCAGAAATTTTTAGAAACATGTAAGGATTTAAACAAATAACTATTTATATGTATCGTTTCCATGCAATAGAGTAAAGCCTTATTTGAGCAACGATAGTATTCGGAAATTTAAAAATATCGGTTGCAATAACATACCTACTTAACCTTTCACTTGACATTTATGAAAAACCTTTACCAACACCAGTGCAAATAATCAGACTAAACGGTAAAATTTCCAATTGATCCACGTTCAGTAGCAGAAGAGAGTTCAAATTGTATGATTATAACTAAGTAAGAAGAAGCTGCACCAACAATCTGAAAAAGATTTATACTTCACTTGCACGCAACTGGTGGAACTGTTTTGTTAGACGGGCCCTTGATATCAACACTCAACAGTCAATAATATTTAAAGTAAAATAAATTAGTACCACTTGAACTTGTGTAGCTATGGTAAACTT